AGTAAAAACTGAATGTCATCCAAATGAGCTGAGATTAATTGGGAAACATTTTAATCTTTTTTTTTTTTTAGCAGAATGAAGTAATGAACCAAGTATTGACTTAGAAAAATGATTATGTGATAACTAAAACTAATAGTATACTTCTAATTGTAATTGTTCTAATTGTTTTTTTTTTTTTTTGCAGAATTATGTTAATCACTGATACTTGTTCCCATTTAGCGTTAAATTGTTTGAAAGGACTACTGTGTGACATCTTGCTAAAATAATGGTCAAAGTCAATTTTTTCCAAAAGTGTTTTTTTTTGTTTTGTTTTTCTGGTATCATCTTTTTTTTTTTTTTTTTTTTTTTACAAAATTGACTTTGTCCATTATTTTAGGAAGGTCACAATAATACATCTTGCCTGAAAGGGAATGTGAGTCCATATACATTTCAAGAAAATAGCCATTAAAAGTAATTTTGTCAGAAATTCAATTCAAAAGTTAGCTACTTTTGAATCATAAAAGTAATTTTGCAGTTGAGTAATGTAGTTGTAAAAGTAATTGTAAAAGAACTATAATGCAATTCAAAACTAAAATGAATTACAAATATACAGATTCAATAAAAGCTGAGATATTAAACGTGTTTATCTCTAATGATTTTGATAATTATGGATTACAGTCTGATAAACCAAGAAATGGTTTATCAGACTAAAAAAAACATACAGCAAGTAATTTGTTTTACCTTATTATGGGCTGCCCTGATGGGGAAGCAATCAGTACCGAATGTAAGAAAAAAGTCTGGTCAAAAAAAAGGAAGAACTACAGCCTGGGAAGGATTATGAAGCCTGTTAAAGAATTTGCAGGCAATTCACAAGTGGAGGTCTCCAGCTGGTGGTCTGGTCTTATCTGGGCAGAGGAGAGAAAAACTGGTCCAATGTCCTCCTTTCAGATGACTATAAGATTTAAATTTCATTTGGAAATCGATGTCCGAGAGTCTGGAGCAAGAGAGGAGAGGCACACAATTCACATTGCTTGATTTCCAGCATTAAGTTTCAACAGTCAGTGATGGTTTGGGGAGCTGGTGTTGGTCCACTGGGTTTTCTGAAGTCCACAGTGAGAGCAGCCGTCCAGCTGGACATTTTAGTGAATGTCTGACGTCATTTTCCAGCAGGACTTGGCACCAGCCATATCGCCAAATTCCTGCTCTAATAATTGCAATAGTACATTGTTAATCCAGTCACTGATTGAGTGGTTTGACCTAATCTGCATTCAAAGTCTGCGAACTATTGCCAAGAAGAAGGAATGAGGCAGCAGATCAGACGACACAGGCGAGCCGAAGGCTGATGTCAAACCAGCTAGTGCTTCCTTAACAGACCCAGCAGTGGCACAATTTGTCACCTCCATGCCATTCTGCATTAATGCAGTAATTCATGCAAAACTTATTGAGTCTATACAGTGGAGTAAACTTTTTTTTTTTTTTCAGAAAGCTAGAATCCTTTTCTACCGCTTTGATTTCAGAAGAACTGAATCTTTGGTTTTTTTTTAGCCAGAAGTCATAATCGGTAAAGTTAACAGTAATAAATACTTGGAAAAATTCCTTGGGGTGTAATAAAATAATGAATGGCTTGGTTTCACCTTTTCAACTGAAGTACTTCTTATTTACTGCGCCTTTGCTTCCTCAAATCTTTTGTTTTGAGTTTGATTGACATTCTTATTATGCCTTGCTGCTGCTGTATTACCTGAACTACAGGTGATAAATTATACTTGGTTCAACTTCTTCTCTGTGCTTTCATGCAGAATCAGTACTTCTTTTTTTTTTATTTTGTGCACATGACCAAATACCATTTTTGTCACTCTCACTTCCGCTTTGAAATCAGTCATATGGACACAAATGCAGTCGCAGCAGCCAAAAGCAAAGCAATAACCTTCTCTTTCCTGGTTTTCTTCCCGCCTAGAACAAGAGGATGAGCCTCTGCGGCCACAGATGGAAATCTTTCAGGATCTCATGCTGAGCAGCTCCATCGAGCCCTCGGAGGACGATTGTCTGTTGTACCCGAGCTTCACTGATTCTGACTGCATACAGCCCGACTCATTCCTGGCAGAGTTCAACCTATTAGCACCCAGCCTCATGCCTGCACAAACCTGTGGAGGCATTTCCCAGTAGATCTGTGCATGTTGGCCAGAACTATACAAATCTGCTGACCCCTATTTGCAAAATCCATGCATAGAACTCTGTTGCACTGAACAAGCCGAATATAAAACACAATAGCTCATAGATTTTCCTATCATGTTGAGAAGTCAGTCAATCTTCTTCGCCCGTTAATATTTATGCAAACAAAACATCAAAGGCTGAAGGAGCTGTTTTAAAACCTGGAATATTATCAATTAATTTTTCAAAGCTCCGAAACAGAAAAATGATCGGATGGTGGGAGGTATTGTATGAAGCACTTTGAAGACGCCTTCATCTTGAAAATGTGGCTCTTAAATAATTTTATTCTTGTTGGATTGAAGTTTGTATTTTTTAATTTTTTTTTTTCATTTTTATGTTTTTCACTGGAAGTACACAAACAAGGCACTCCTTTGATTATTTTATATGCAGTTTGCATACATTCACTCAATTTAATCAGTGTTCTATTATAATTCAACATAATCTCAGTAAAACTGGTAAAAATTTGCCATTTTTTCTTGTTTTACCTTGAACATACTGTTTTCCCAAAGCTTGGCTCTTCCTTCCTCTGCCCTTATAACATTCATTTACCCGTATAGAGTCTTTTTGCATATGTTGTCTATTCTTGCACTTCCAAATAGATTGTCATTTTGCCTAAAATGTCTGTTCTACTTTCGGACTCTATTTAATCTCAGTCTTTATATTTCTTGGTGAAATGTGAATGGTTTCTAATCAGCTGTCTTTTTAGCAATCCAGTTGTTCTCTCCACTGTTAATTGTACTTCTGGAGAGTTTAATTCACTTGGTTTATGTAATAAAGCTTTTTGAAAGGGAACAATTTGATTTGAATCACGTCTTGATTTACAAACTCACAAGAATGAAAAATATCCACCTATGTGGCTTCAGAATGGGAAAAGAAAAATTCTGCTTAAATGTTCTGGTATGGATGTGGATAGAGTTGTTGGCGTGACTATTAAAGAAGTGCAGATTATCTTAAACTCGCCGCTAATTTAATCTCATTGAATAATTTTCACAAACCTGCTTTCAGGTTTCAGCTGAAGACCTAAGTGAGTTTTTCTAGAGGGTTTATAATATGCATTACATCAAGGTTCTCAATCCATTTGCTAGACATACATGACAATGATTACTAATTAAAACTATGATGATCTCAAAAACAGACAATGCATTTAGGAATGCTTCAGTTACATTAGTCTTTTTTAGATTGATACGAACATTTGTACCACAAAATGAATGTGACTTTTTTTATCCCCTCCTGAATAAATGAATATTTAATACTATAATACTCCTTAGTTTTACTTCTGCGGGAAGTTCAAATAGACTTGTACTGTCGCATAATTATTTTGTAGAAAAATCACATTATTCAAAATTAGAAGAAAATGTTAACTCCAAACTTTAAGTACATTTAGATTGCTTCCTTAAGGATGCTAAAAGTCTCAAATATTGCTTTATGGCAGCACATTTTCATCCAGAAGTGCTAAAAAAAATGGCCTTTGTTCTCCTTTTTGTCTTTTGCACATCTTATTGCTTCATGGCTTAAAATGGAAGTTTTGTTCACCAAAACTTTCCTGTTTTGAAATGTGTAGCAGTAATCTATTTTATTGCACACAAGGAGTCGTAGAAAGACCAAAATTGAAACTGGGGCTACAGATGGTGGATGTTTTATCATCTCATTAATTAATTAATATGATGACATCATTTTACAATATTAAATTAGATGTTCTGATCAAATTAGTACAGATCAGTCCTTCCTGTGGTGCATTACTCAGTATAATAATTCATGACACTGTTACATATATTGGAAACATCACTCAACTATGGACTGGTAATGGTTTAAATTTTAAAAGTACATTGAAAGGAAATAAAAATGATTGCTCTAAACTGACAACTAATTATTGCACATTTAGTGTTGAAAATACCTAAACAGAAATGGATTTTTCCGCAGTAAAAAAAAATAAAAGTTTTTGTTGTTCAAATAGACGGCCTATCAACTAGAATAATCTACAAAAATATTTATTAAAGTGAGGGACAATACAGGGACATGTAACGCAAAGACTCACTGTCAATGCATTTTCTTAATATAACTTAAAAGTTTTCTTAATATATTAAGCTATATTAAGAAAACTTAAAATTATAAATAAAGTAGTAACTTTATTTATAACTTTAAATAAAGTTGTATGATTAACTTTATTTATGTTCTTTTTCCGGTTTTAACTCAAAATGATTGCTAATTAGCCAGATAGTAAAAACTTATGTTCTCCACTTGAGATGTCATGAACTTGAAAAGGAGGTTTAAAGTAAAGTAACCTTGAATATGTTTCAGAGGGGATGCTATCATTTCTCCATGAATGTGTTTATGGTTTCTTACAGCGGTTATCACTGTGTGCATGAATCACTTAGACAGCAGACAGAAGTCAATTAGAAAGAGTCATGAGTCGCACAATGTCTTGCTGCTGTTAAAGTGTTTTAAACAAAACTGGGTCAAAAAAAAAAATCAGACTCCCCAAGCTTCGAAACAGCCATAGACAATGTCGTCTGTGCTCTCAGATGGAGGCTTCAACAAACTGCTAGCATGTCTGCACACGCATATTCCTCCCATTTTACATCATCATAAAGGCCAAATCACCTGAGCCCTTAGCTTTTAGTCATGCCTTGTCAGCACAAGTAAGACAGCATTGAGACAGAGCAAGTTCCTGAATTACTGGAGTGTTGTGTTAGCTGGGACTGTCCTGGCATAGTTAAGCAATGAAGGCTCTTTCTGGTGTGATGTAATGGACACTTCCACAATCTGAAATGACAAAGCTTTTCCCTCTTATCCCGAATGACGTCACGACACAGTTAACCTCTTAAAAACATACATTTAATTTCACAATAAACAACATATGGTGATGTACAAAGATATCTGCACGTTGAATTGCAAAGTGTGACCTAAATTTATACTTCAAAATAAATGTAAATATCTGTGAGATATAAGAATATAAGTGAAGGAGCTGTAATTTAAAATCAACTTTTTGCCTTTTTTTTTTTTTTTTACACAGCATTCTGGGAAATGTGGGCAAACCTCTAAGTTGATGGAATCACCATATCAACCAACTCTTTCTTCGGTTACCTAGCAACAAGCAGTTTCAGATTCTCTCCAACTTTAGTTACCTAGCAACGCTCTGTTGAGTAACTGGCGCAGCAGCAGTTTGAGGTTTCTCAAAACTGTTTAAAAGTAAAAACTGCAGTGGAGTAGAAACTGCAGATAAAACAGGAAAGGTGACGCCACCACATTGACAGTATTTCAGATGTTTAAAGCAAAAACATAATTGATAATTATCTATATTAACAACTGACGTCGACTCCATGATAAGTTTTTCTTTTAGCCCAGTTCTAATAAACACATTCAAAAGTCAACCCTGCTAGCTTTCAGGGGATGTTTTTCCTGAGAGGGACATTAAACCGGGAAACCTGAAACGGACACTTTGGACTCATGGATCAATCAAAGTAAGTTCTATGAAATCAGACTTTGTGGGTCTGACGCCAGCTGCACAGGCGGGTGAAAGGAATAGCAGCTCAGCTGAGCAGCTTCCAGTATGCCTGCCGAAACTGTCTGTTCATGAGCGCGTACAGGATAGGGTTGATGCAGCTGTTGAGCCAGGTGAGGTTGGCACAGAACATGTGCAACATCTGTGGGGCGCGGTTTTCTTTGTCGGCTATGTTTAGTAGCATAAATGGGACAAAGCAGAACACAAAGCAGAGAAACACAACAAAACACATGCGGGTCACACGCTTGAATTCGTTAACGTTTGGAATCCCAGGATGTGTAGCGGGAGCGGTGCTTCGGGTCACTGGCTGTGGGTCTGATGACGTTAAGGGTGGAGCTGAACTCTGTGTGTTTTGGTCCTGTTCTGCTTGGCTGCTAATCTCTGAGCTATATGTCTTCCCCACACCACTTTCCACTCTGCTGTCGTCCGTCCCCTGAGCTGAAGGAGCAGGCGTCTTCCTAGAAGAGCGTTTACTCAGCCTGTAGCGGAACAGAGCTTTTGATGCAAGCCTGACTTTTTTGTAGATGAGCATGTAGAAGACTCCAACACATCCCAGACCGATGATAAAATAGAGGAAAAGCAGGATGGTGGTGTAGGGGCGGCCTTTGGTGCGATGGAAGCTGCAGGTGCACACCTGAGGCACAAACGCGAAAACAGACCAGAGTGGGCCGAAGCTGGCCAGACCCAGACCCCAAGCTGAGACCACGAGAAAAGTAAGTCCAACGTTGGAAAACAAGCAGTTGAAAACAGCTCTTTTTGCAACCAGGAGGTATCGGCTCACCGCCACCAGGCAGAGGATAATGATGGAGACGGAGTGGGAGACGCAGAGGAGCAACCCAAAGATCTGGCACCAGACCTGACCAGCACGCCATCTGAGGTGCAGGTAGGAGTCTACAGAGATGGGCTGCAGGATGGTGCAGTAGAGAAGGTCAGCCACCGCCAGGTTAACGATGAGGACGTTGAAGCGAGTCTGGAGACGGGAGTTCAGGCTGAAGGCCAGGACGGTCATCAGGTTCCCCACGGTTCCAATGAAGGTTACACAACATCCCCACAGCACGGCAAAGTACCGGTACACCACCACCGAGCGGCTGTAGCAGGAGAAGCTACTGGCCTCTATTTGGTCCGTGTGATTCATCTTTATGCTGTGAAAATAATAGAGAAGTTAGTTTCCTTTAACTGACCTCATAGCAGGTAACCAGTTTGTCTGAGAAGGAAGTTAAACAGCAAGTAGACAACATGAACTCACCACTTCCCTCTGCTGCTCTGACTGAAACCACTAGTGCAAGTTTTAGCTTTGATAAAACTGATTTTGTTGCATAATGTAAAAATATTTATTTTGGTTCATAATTCACAGCAGAGGAGATAATTGCCTTTTTCTACACTTTTATAATAGAACCACCATATACATATGTATACAGCTCTGGAAAAAATTAAGAGACTACCTAAAATAATCAGTTTCTCTGATTTTACTTTATATATGAAGTTTTTTTCCCACCATATACTGGAAGACTAATAATAGGAGGGACGGAGCAAACTGCAGGCCAATCCTGGAATAAAACTACATACTAATACAGGAGTTTAGATCAGTGTGAGAAAATATATCTGAACATATTTAAGATCTGAAAGTCGATGTCTCCCTCTAATCTGACTGAGTAAACACATTTTCAAAAATCTCACTCTCTAAAATTGCTTATTTGGTAGAACCGAACCCCAAAAGACCTGCAGCTGCCGTCACAACAACAGCTGGCTCTACAAAGGATTCACTCAGAGGAGCTGAATACAAAACTATGCAACATTTCTTAAGATTTATATCTGTAACAATGTTGAAAACCATGCAGCATTTGCCTTCCCCTTTAAAACTATTCACTGTTTTCACTTAGGAATAAAACTTAACATTTGAGGTTATTACTTAGCAAAATGTGAAAAGGAATACATTGTAAGGACTGTATATGTGTAGTAAAATACACACTAAAACACACAGGGTCCAATAAAACCAACAGCATCAGATGAGGTGAAAGTCAGTTTGCACCTAATGATGATAAATAGATTGAGTTTAAACCCTGAAGGAAAGGAGTGTGAATGATTACACAACACAAGCCTCTCGACATAAATAAAAGTACTTTAGCTTATTCAAATTCACTCTGACTAATCCTTAAAATATACCACAAATCAATGAAAGCGTAATGGTTTTAAAAATTAAAACTGCAGCTTTCTTGAAAAAGAGCATTGAAATAAAACATCCTGTAAACATAACATCTATGTTTTCCTTCTCAGTCAGTGAAATACATTTCATGATAAACACAGAAAAACACCAGAGTTGTTGATAGTGAGGCATCTGACCTAAATATGATGGAAAATTAAGCATATTGAGAGAAAATGAGACGCCGCTCTTACCTTCACGCTGCTCTGTGTCTGTTAGAGATTGTTCAGCTCTTCTGACAGGTTGCGTGTTTCTCTTCCTGCTGAAGTCACCGCTCTTCTGGATCCTCTTTATTGGGCTGCGATGCTGCAATACGTTTGTTGTTGTTTTTTTTTTTTTGTTGCTGCAGGCGGAAATTCTTGTCTTCTCAAGCAGAACCTTGGAATAAGTCAACGAAGACCTGAACACACAATGAAAAAAACTGAAGATTAATAAGAGGGATCCTGTCTGAGAAAAGAAATCCTCAGATGGTTCATGTTTGAAAACCTTTAGAACCACTGAAACCCACACCCTAAACTACAGTCCAAAGTAAAACACAAACCATGTTATTATGGTGGCACTTCACAGACGAGATGAGGAGCAAAACTGCAAATCCAGTAAACATTTAATCACTGAGCATTAAAACATGTTGTCCACACTTTATTTCTACTTTGCATCTAAAAGGTCAGACTTTGTTAAATCAGGAGGAAATCCATCAATCCATCAATGGAGGAACTCCAGTTCTCTCTAAGTCCAGGTGGGAAGGCTCGCCATCAAGGTGAATGGAGGAATCCACTTCAGGAAAATTAAATGGGGAATCCACCACAGGAACAATCCAGGAGAAAAAACAACAACAACCCTGATCTGTCAATAGACAGGACCAGCAGAAATATAGAATTTTTATTAAACCGATCTAGCTTCCATCCTTAGATCATGTTTCATAACTGTTGTAAAATCCTTTTCCAAGCACAATAATAAAACATTACATTTTACTCTAACTCAGCAAAGGTTTACATTTGAATAACTAAGTAAACACTATTATTCGACAACAACAAGATAAAAAGAACAAAAACCAAATGAAAGGCACAAAATATGCTCAGCGATCTCAGTGCGACACGTTCAGAGCAACTACAGTATATAGTGACTCTCAGTCTGGACACGTAGGGCACTAGACAGTGTGAAAGGCATATTTTTCAAGTTTTAACTTCAACAACATGAATTAAATAAAATAAAAATAGATTATTATTTAGGCTTTACCTTCAGTTGAACTGAGAACAACTGCCAACCAACTGCCAGAAGAGCTAACAGTTCCAACTGATCTTAACGGCTAACGGCAGAAAAACTGAAGTTCAGTTTTCTGAAGCTTACAACTCTTTCTAGCTTAGAAATTGGACTATAAACAATAACTATTTAGAAAAAAAAAGAAAAGAAAAGTTTCTTCAAAGTCAATAAACAACATTAAAAACATATTTAAAAATCCTCACTCTGTCTCAGCTGTCTCAATAGGGTTGGATCTCCCGCTCACAATCAACGCTGCCAACACGGGAATAAAGGCGGAGCCTCTGTGGCATTCCGGTCTCTGATTGGTCTAAACATTCATGGAAGCCAAACTTCCCATTGGCCAGACAGACCACCCCGCCTACCCAATCTCCAGTCCTTAAAGGGGTATCCCCACTTTATGTGGGTTACATACGCAGTTCTTCAAATATTCTGAGTAAATATATTCATCCATTCATCCATAACAACTGGAACTTTCAATATCTATCTAGTTGTTTTAGCAATTCACCATTTATTAAAAGATTGACCCTCGGATTAATGTCACTCCCTGCTAAGGCTGTGGTGAAATTACCGTAATATCCTGATATTGGTTATTATCAGGTTACAGTTACTCTTTCAGAAACCGTTGGAATCTTTCAGATAGTGCAAAGTGTGGCAGAATTACTTAAGTCCTACGTTTAGGACTTAAAGGTTAAAAGGCAGTCATTCCTTTCTACTGTCGCCACATGTTTACTGAGTAGTGGTGTTTGTTTAAAGGTCAATGACTCGGTCCAATCAGCTGGACTTCTATTGATAAATCACTTCTTCCAGTGATATAATGGTGTTATTAAATAGTCACGTTTTCTACGTCCCTTGAGATAATTGCTGTGAATTGGCATCATGTAAATGAATAGAAGGGAGCTAACAGGTAATGTGATTCACTGACCCACCCGTTTGTTCTGTGAGTCACTGTCGGTCAATCCCTCCTGAAGGTGCGTCTTTAGGAGAGCAATGCATGAAGAGTTTCTATCACTTGGTTGAAGGTGTGAATAACAGGGAAACCACCTGATGTTTCCTTCTGGCTGAGAATGTAAAATTAATGGCGCCTCAGGCCATCTGTGTTTAAGTCTGCCTCCTTTTTCCGACAGTTCAGAGATGATTTCAATGTGTCATTAAAATATTTTTTTGTGTATTCCCCTTCAGCCCTTCAGTATTATTTATTAATACTAATAAATAATAATATTAGATATTTGATCAAACCTTAATGATTTAAAAATAGTTGTACACAGAAATTAGGATCATTAAACTGGAAATTAAATTAATAAAACACTTAAAGTCCATACAAAAGACTCAAAATACCAAATCTGTTTTATTTAGTAGAAAAAAGTGAGGAGTGTTGATTATACCAAGGAAACAATAAATCACTTTAAAATGATCAGAACAGCAAGAATACAAATTATAATACCAAGGAGCAAATAATCAAGACAGGATCTCAAAGCTGTTGTCAAAAAGAAAAAGAAAAAAAAATCAGAAGTACAATTAGAATTTTGTTGTCAATGGTGGAGTTTCAAATAATTGCTGTAATTAAACCAAAATACTTTACCTTACAGGCCAAAGAGCACAAATTTATATCAAATGGAGACCAAGCAGCTGAAATCTAACTGTACACATTTCAGGTTTAGACAAGTTATTTATAAACTAAAGACCTTCCTGTTTTTGTCATTGTGTGGTGAAAACTGTCCTTCCTGCAAAGACATGGTTCAAAAATAAAAATAGACAACAAAGCAAATCTAGCACAGGAAGTTCAAACTAGACAACTAGTATGCAAACTATTTGTCTAGTTTGCAAACTAGTTTGCAAACTAGACAACTAGTTTGCAAACTAGACAACTTTCAAAGTTCAGTGCTAAACACAGTTAAACATTTAAACTCCTTTTCTAGCTGGAGCTGCTGGACTTAGAATAAAATGAAACCAGTTTCGTCCAGCAAACCTGTGCGCCTCGACCACATCAGTGGTTTTATAAAGTCATAGTAATGATGATCAAATCAGTTTATACTGTTCTGATCCTCGCCACCTTGTGGTGGTTTAACTTTACGACCACAAAACTCCTACTGTCTGACTGTTGTGCTAAGACTTTTTGAGAATTATTTGTCATTAAATGCGTTAGTGCACATTGTGAAGAGATTAACAGAGCCTCTTGTTTGTAAATATTTTTGGACAGTTCTCGAAACGACATACCCCAAAAATAATTTCATATATCAGGATATATTTGACTGGTTCAGGTATCAGAAAATAGAAAATATTCCAAAAAATACTCTAAAAATCAATATTGCTATTGCTGAGTAAGAGCAAATACATACGGCACACAGTGATTATTTACTTATTTACTTTAGCCTGAATTTTACTCAACACAGTGTAAACCTATCAAGCAGCAGTATTACATAAAACTTTTGGTGAACATTCAAAATTAAATTAAATGAAACTTTTTTTTTCTGTCCCACAGAATAAACCTGATCCCTGGTTGAATGGAAAATGAAACAACTCGATATTCATTCTTCTTCGATTTGAACAATACAACAAAGTACTAAAAAACTATAACGTCTTTAGTTGTCAAAAGTCGCCTCTGGAAAAAAACCCTATTCAAACTTAGAAACTGAAAAAAATATATACGTGTATGAAAAAAATACTCTTTTTTTTTCTGGGAGATGCAGGGTGATAAAAGTAGAAATTAAATATTACCTAAAATAATACTAAGAAAAGTCAAAGACCTATTAATCACAAAAATAAATAAAAACATTCTCAACCACCAGATGGAGGCAAAGACCTCGACAACAGTTTTTTTTACAAGTTGTTTCTACTGCAGTATTACATCCAAGAGTTTATAGGTTTATTTTGTTCCCCAGAAAAAAGAGTTTGCCCTTTTGTTTGTTTCATTAATTGGCATTAAAGAAACGTCCAGAACAAATGTACTGTCTTTAGCACATGCTCAGCTTTTCAGGGTTTGAATTGTTTTAACTACTGTTGCCCATTTATCTAAAGCCATATTTTGCAGAGAGAAAACAAATTATAAATGATATAAAATGACCTCATTTACAAGGAATCAGTCAAGAGATGTCACAAAATGCATCTGGGAAAAAATAATATAGAGTTCCATGTTATTACACTATTAGGACACTAATTTCGCTACTTAAAAAATTCTGCAAACTTTATGTTTTTTTTAACATTTACACTTTTGCCATTTTCTGCTCATTCAGGATATTATAACCATGTCTTATGTTGTTGAAATTATCTACAGTTTATAAAATATTCAGTTTTTTGTGATCATCTTGGGCATTATTGAAATTACTCAAATATCCAAATTCTGCTAAAAACTTTGCGTTCTTTTACATACTTTCAACTTGAATGCCATTCAAATTTTAAATTGCAGTCAAATCCTTCAAATACTTTTGCTCATTTCAGACTTTTTTTTAAATTTTAATTTAATTTTTAAATTAATTTATTTTTTTAAAGATTTCAAAACAACATGAAGAAGCTGCAGGAATTTCCCAGTGCTGGTTGACAGTCGTCTTTCTCCAGCTTCCAGTCTGTTTATTGGTCTGTCCTCCTTCTCTCCTCCAAACTCACTCGTCTCCTGCTGAACATGTTTCCACCTGTTTGTGATTTTCACTGTTTTCTCTTCGGCAACAACTCCTCCTATTTTTTATTTTTTACTTTTATTTTTTGGCTGATTCTTTTCAACCACAAGGCTACCAGAGACAACAGAGAAAAGATTTGAATTTTTGTTGTTATTGCAGTGTGTTTCTTTTATTTGTTTAGTTTTTAGTTCCCATTAAAACCATTCTGATGGAGCCTCTTGTGGTGTAGCAAAAAAAAGGCTGAAATTTAGTTTTTTTTTTGCTATGTTGGCAAGAAAAACGTTGCCAACGTAGCAGTCATATTAAAAATAAGTAGGAGAATGTAAGTTTAATATTCTCACCTTAACCCAGTGATGTGAGGGAGTGAATGTCTACTTCCTTGAGTTGCACAAATATTTATTTAATTATTCAGTTGACGGATGTTATGCAGCATTAACCAATCCTCTAAAAAGTTCTGCATATTTGCACTCTGCACACTCCTTCATTTCTTTATTCAACAAATATTGTCGTAGCGCATACACACACAAACTCACTGTACATACATATGGTGGTTTGCAAGAGTATTTATGCTGCTTAATGTTTTGCATTTTGTGACTTTGTTGCCCAGCAAAGTTTTGACTGATGATCAGCAGGCAGAGAAGAGAAGAGAACGTCCTTCCTCTGTTCGGCTGCGTGATTCATTTATGACAAATCCCAGGTACCACTGAAGCTGCTTCCTGTACACTGACACATGTTGTAGCTTGTCCTGAATCTTAAAAAGGAAAAAAAATTAATAAATCAAAATGCTTCTTGAAAAGAGCAAAAAAGGAGAAGTATAATTATACAATCTTATGTCCTGCCTGTGGTTAAATGTAATACTGCCAAGAAAATATATGCCAGAGAAGTTATTTTTTATTGTTTCTAATGTTCTTTACTGACAGCTTGGACAAACAGTGCGGTGGGTCTGACAAATTTGCTCTACTTTAAAATCAGCGAATGAGCAGCTTTCTACAAGGAACACTTCATTAAATTAGATTGTGACTCAGACAAAGAAGAAAACAAATAAAAACATGACTGAAATATATACATTAACTTCTCAAAACTGATATGCCTTTACTTTGTTTTATTTTTTGAGTAATTTATGTGTTATTTAATCTCACTGATTAATAATTTAAGGATTAACTAACAACTCAGAGTAATTAAATATTAATTTATTTTAAGACTTTTTGAAACATCTTTTAAAGGAGGGCATAAAATACAGAGAGCACTGATATGAGATTGATGCATTTCCGATGTTATTTTATATATAATGCTTTATATGCATTACTTTAAGCACTTGCATAAAAATGTTAAGAAATGAAATATGTCAGAAATCAACACTTCTTTCAACCATAAACTCATTTTAATGATTTCATAGTTTAAATCTAACAATAAGGAAGCCCCAACATGAACAATTTATCTTTTTTTTTTTTTTTTTTTTTAATATTCTACATTTACAGTAAAGTTTCAATACACTTCTCCTAAGGAACATTTATTACATTTCTCTACATCTTTTTATTGCAGTTCACAAGAAAAAAGTAACAGAAGTGCTCACGGTATTGCTACATTTCCCGTTTCCTAAACTTTTCTTCCAATGATTCCCAATTCCTTACTGAGAGCTTCTGATAGTTACTTTTGGAGATCAGAGTGCACAGAAAAATACTGCTACCCAAGTCCAGTACGATCCAGAAATGTGACCATTTTTGGTTTCTTTAATTGTCTTTGCATACATCTTTTCATCAGTGTTTGTGGTCCTGGATGTGTCCCTGGCTGCTGGTTCCTCCTACTGGTTCCTGTGTCCTCCACTGCCGTTTCTGGTGAAAGGTGGTTCTGTTTTTGTGTGCCCAGATTAGAAAGCGCCGCGATCGAAGTTATGAATGAGTTCTCGTCCTGCTGTACTCACAGTGTGAAACTTATTTCGAGAAGACGCCGAAAGCTTCTGTGCGGAGTGGATGAGAAAAACACCAGAAATGCACTCCTGTGCGCTCAGCAAGATTTCTGACAGAATGGTTTGAGGAAGAGTTCATTGGTAGCACAACGTCTTCACTGACTAAAAAAAAAAAAAATGAAAATGATTTTCTTTTAGCAATTTCTCCAACCTTACTGCATTGTACACATAACACAAAAACAAATACTGACATCTGCATAGTGCAACAGCAGTTTCTTCTTTACAATTTCCTATGTATATCACTTTAGCTTTAAGATGCAATATAAAGTCCTACCATTTGCTATTTCCCCTTTCCTTCTTTTTGTGTCCCACAGAGGCAAATGCAGGTCAGCCATTGACAGGTGACCAGACAGAAACCACAGAGTCATCTGCTAATTGTGTGAACCACAAGAGCAGAACGTTACAGTGGTATAATCCAATCTACGATGACAGCTATGGCATGAGTCCAGCTAACTCCAGACGCACCTACTACATCTAATTCTGTGTTTTTATTATATAAATGCTGTAAAACTGTAATGCAGACAGATGAAAATAACAAACAAAAGAGAGGTAGGGTTTTAAGTCCGCCACATGAGATCTTTGTGCCTCAGAAATATTAATACCTCTTGAACTTCTTTGAACATGATGTATGTTTTTTTTCTTGGGATTATAAGTGATACACCAACACAAAGTGGTTATTCAGATTATTCATGTTTTTAAACTTGATTATGCAAAAGATTTCTAAAAAAAAAAAAAAGAAGATGGTGCTTTTGTCTTTGACAAATTAGAAATTAAGCGCAACCAATGGGCTTAATAAGATCTGTTGGAGCGTTAACTGAGAAATTTTGCTCAAAAAAAGTCAAAAGAAGTCAAGTTTGTAGTTTGGTAATGATCTACATTGCCGATATAAGAGGCACAGTGAAGAAGGCGCTCTGATCTAATGAAGTCAAAATCAACTTTTGAACTTTGTGTGGAAGAAAATGACTGATTCAGATTACATCATCCAGATTACATCATCACCACTGTGAAACATGGTGGTGGCAGCATCATTATGTGTGAACAGTTTTCTTGAGAAGAGACTGAATATCTGGCCAGAGTTGCTGAATACTGATAAAATATCGATAATATACCAATACCAATTTGCATTGGTAGTATATTAAAACCAATATAAATTGATATTAGTATTGGATTCATACATGCAGGATAAGATTGATTCTTTAGTTTCAGATTCCCTCTTGAAATTTTATTTTACTTTTGTACTGTAGATTCTCAATTCTACCTTAATTCATTTTTGCTTCGATTTGCTCTCAATTGATGATTTTTTTGCACTTTATGTAGAAAACTGCACACAAACTTGTTTTGATTTTTGAATGTTCGTCTTCATCATGTAAATATGTCGTTAAAGTATTTTGTAGACACCAACACACCTTATCTAAATTCTGTCCTAGAATTAGTTGTTTTGAATTAACAAAATAATTCAAAGAAAAAATCACAGAAGTTTGATATTGCCCTGCTTTAATGATTAATATCGATATTTGTATCAGCGATACTGTTCCTGTATTTACATGGTATCAGAGTGACACCAAAATACAGCAAGATAAATATCAGTGGTGATGGTGCAAAGTCCAGAACTAAATCTGACCGACTCAGATTTAGTTTTAGTTTCTGATTTAGTTTAAGTAGTGAGACGCGTACAGCTGCTCCAGTCTGGCCGAGACTGGGCTCTATAAAATTGAGCAAAAATTTGAGTTTCTTGATTTGCAAAGTTGATAGAAAAACGGCGACAGAATGTGGCTCTAAAAATTCTTACTTTGAAAGGCTGAAAACAAATCAACAGTACTGTTTTCAGATTTCCTTTTTTGTATTATTATGGGAACGTTGTGTTGGTCCGTCACATAAAATCCCAGTGAAATGGTTCAAAAACTTCAAGAATGAATGCATCTGGACACCTGTGTAAGAGTTGAAGGCATCTAGCTGCAGACTCCAAGACGTCCTCTTCAAACCATCAGCTCGTAGATTTTGATCACCAGCCGATACTCAGGTGATGAAGGAAAACTCAAGAGGATAGAAACATCTCAACACAATGAGGAGTAATATTTATATCTTCTATAAATAAAATAAAATGTGCAGCCAGACCAGCCAGTTTGGCTCTCAATGGCACATGGTTGCCTCCAGTTCACAGTGTGCTTCTTCCTGACTCTTCTCCATTCCTTCACCGTTAGTACGGAGTGAAGAGAATGGGCCCGTGTGTGGTGCGGATGGGGCCCGGGGCTGGCCTCAGCAGGCTGAGGGGCGTTCCCTGTAGCAGGTGTGGGTGAGGGTGGGAGGTCGGCCCGGGAGGCCGTAGAGCCAGTTGGTTTGACGACGCTGCTGCCGCCATTGCTGCGGCGACAGCCAGAGGACTGGGTAAAAGTCCAGGCCCTAGAGTTTTTGGAAGTTCCTTTGAGAAAGTCCAGAAAAGGGGAGAATGACGCGTTAGCAACATTTGAAAATAAACCCCGACCAGCAGCAGGAACATTATAAGACAACATAAATATTTACCATAAAGTCTGTGCGCTTCTTGTGCCGACTGAGAAGAGGATTAGGTTTACCCGCAACTCCGTCCCGATGCCTTCTGCTCGATATATGCTGCAATGCCAAAGACCAAAAAACACGGATGTGATTTCATGAAGCCATTTCTCATCATGAGCTCTTCGTTTTTGAGTGTTTTTACCTGTTTAAGCTGCAGCTCAGAGTTGACTCTGACGTTGCATATCTCACAGTGGAAGGTGCGTTCCTGAGTGTTTGGATCAGAGGAGAGCTCCCCTCCCTGCTCAGGGCTGGGTTTGGGACCCAGGCGAGGGTACGCTTTGATGGGTCCCAGTCCACTTCGAGCCTCCAGGATAGTTTTGTGTTTGGTTCCTGGAAACAGCAGAAGAAGAGATCATTTGGCTGAAAGGCCACGTAGCACTGTTTTCGACTTAGAGCAACATAATTTAATTTTAGATTGTTTTGAATACCAATCTCAGAGGTAATAATTTCTTAAAATATCTTTGCATTTTCAGCAAAATTCTTACAATAAATGTATCTTTAATTTCACTAAAGTAGCTAGAAATTTCCAGGATATATTCATTCAGTGAGGGGAAAAAACACAAACATTTCTGGAGCGACAACAATTTTTTACCCCAATAATTTCTATGAAATGAATCTAAAGAAATAGATTATATAGATTATAAATAGATATATATTTTTGACTGTTTGGTTCATGACTCTTTTTCTTTTGACTTTCTCTTTATCAAGAGTGGCAATCATTTGAGAAATAGTATAAAATACTTATGGAGAAAAATTGTTTCACTTTTCTGTTGTGAAACAGTTTGTGTACTTGAATACAGATTGTTTTTTTTTAGCGAAATAAACTTCAGAAGTTAAATTTACACTAATAGTAAAATTTGCAAACCAACACTGGATTTTGCACTCCGTACCACTTGTCCTTGCTTTCAATTTATAATGAAACATTATAGTTTTGAATCCTACAATAATTTCTTAAGCTCATGAGATTAAAAAGCCCTTCAAGTGGTACAAGGTTAAATTGTTTCTATTATAGCTGAGGAAACCTCGAGGGTTACAGCTGAAACGAATGAAGCTGATGAGGATGGAGGAGCCGGGTTGTCTGAATGAGTTTAGTTTTAAATTTTAATCTTCAATAACTCAGAATATTGTTGAAAAATTCATTTTGTTCCAAAACAAAAATTTACCAAGTGCAACCCTTTATATAGATAGACACATAAACTGAAGTTTTCGAGCCTTTCTTTCTGTTAATTCTGATGATTTTCTGCGTGCAGATACAGTGGCCGACGGGCAGCACAAAGGGAAACCCACTGCGAACAGGTGCAAATGCAAAGGAGATGGCAAAATGAGCTGCAAACACATGAATGGTGCAAAAACAGATGCAACAGGAAAATGCTGCAAACAAACAACGATGCAATCACAAATGAAATGCTGCAACATGCAAAATAAGAGGAAAAGAAGAAACGCAGCAATGAGTAAAAACATGAAATTCCACAGCAAATTTCCACAGCACCACATGACAGCGGCTAAATGGTTTCCTGGAGTGGTACACTGTTTCTCCGCTATTAGCACATTTAGCAGCAAGTACATGAGTATGACTGACAGCGCTGACACCGTCTTCATGCCTGTGATTGGCTGTTTTTGACTGGGAGTTGTGCATTTCTGCAGATGGCAATAGCAGCTCAGTGAGGAGGAGGATGAGGAGGAACTTGTTTTTTTCACTGATTGTCTCATACTATCACAATGTGGCGACAGTTTTAGCAAATAAGAAAAAAAACTTTGTAAATTTTTCACACTGTACCTTTAATACATAAATGTAGGATGATCTAAAGTATGTTTGATATGTGATTAATGGTTGTTTTTTTCTTTCCCAAAAGGCAGCCTGTGGTTGAACTGAGTCTCATCAGGACACATCTCATTCATGTGTCCTGATGAGTGTGTGATTTTTATTCATGTCAGAATTTCACATCAAGAGACACTGAAACACTTTTATCAGTTTTCTATTTGCTTCTAAGAGCTCTGAACTTGCACTGAAGAGGTTAAGTTCCCACCGTTTTCTCTGTGATCTAGTCAAACTTCTGCAGATTGGACCAACCTTTGTTATGCGCCTCCAGCTGTGAAAGGGAATTAACAGCTACTTTGCAGAGAGAGCAGTAAAGCAGCTTTTTGGCTTTTTCTTCCTCCGACTCTCCTGAAGACGGGCTTGGTGCCGGGGAGGGGGTGTCAGGTAGAGCAGCTGCTGCTGGGTCCCCAGAGGAGCTGCTGAGGGCTGCCGAGGAGGAGGGAGAGGACGGCAGAGGTATGCCGACAGACGACTCTGCGTCTGCTGAGTTCATCTGAGTTGTCGGGAGGTGGTTAGGGGTCAAGGGTGAATCTTTCAGGCTGGGGCAGGACTGAGGATCATCTGCAAGCAACAGAAATATTTCTGGTCAATGAATTATTTATCGAAAACCAAGCATGAGTCATACGGCGATGATCCGGACGTGATATAAAAGTATAAAAAAACCCAACAACAACCATGCAATGCCTCCAGCAGTAGTGCTGCGGTTGCTATTTCCCTGAGGTCAAACTGACTGCAGTGAGACTCCAGCTGGATGTGCAAACAGCAGGTCTGACCGACCCACTGTGACAGGACATGTTTACATGATGGAGCTTGGCGGGATTCGTTTCTGGGACTCATCGTGTAACTAAAGATTTCTATGGCAGGTGTGCAGGTAAAAATAAAACAAATAGCATAAATTATTTGTAAAACAAATAGCCGCTGAGCTGAATTTTTAAAATAAGTGACATAAATATTCACTTTGTTCAACAGATTATTTGATTTTTGGCCAATTTTTCTATCACCTTCCATGCTTTAAGTGACAGTCTTACCCTGCTTGTTGGGATTAGGATCAGATATCGGGCTGGACGGCGCGAGGCCGGGTGGGGAGGGCGAGGATGGAGGCTGAGGTTGCTGTTTGTCTCCATCTTGGAGTCGTGATGTCTTTGACGTCTCGATGCCCTTCACCCTTCGAGCATGGCGGTTTCCTTTATAGTGTGCCTCCGCTTGACTCTGGGCAAATACATATACATGGCATTACTGCATTATGTATTTTAATTACATTTTAGCTTCTTTTTTGGACATCAAGATTCACCAGACACAGATTTAACTGGATTACACTTCAGTCCAAAGTCATGGTTGTAAAAACCACCAAGACTTTCCGTCATACTACTGTGATGAACCTAAATTCTTTTTAATGACACTGCTGCACTCTTCTGGTCAGCTGGCTGAAAGAAGGTTGCAACTCTTCTTGTCTCTTTTGATGTAGATAAGTGAGGAATTATTGGCAATTTATTCATATATTTTTAGATAAAATGATCAAATGAAACTGATAAAAGCACAAAGGTTGAAGGCATTTTTTTGTAAACATACATACAAAAAAAACATATAAGTAGCAATCAGCTTATATTGATTGCTATATAAGTACAGAACATAAATTTGATTGGTAATAGTCTAAATAGCAATAAAATAAAATATAAAAAAGTACATAGGAATTTGTAATGATAAGGTTAGAAGTAATGATCAGACTTCAAGAGACAATAAAATCTTTAAACTCCATGTAGAACCCAGGCTGAATAAACACATCTGGTTTTAGTTTTGAAAACATCTGGTCCACAGACAGCCTGATTAATTAACCAGCTGTTAAACTCAATAAAGTTCAGAATGACATAAAGACAATATTCTGCTGAGAACATACATTTACAGGACAACTATCACTAATTTTAGTGTTTATTTTATAATGTTGATTAAGTCTATCCATAATTATTTACAGTATTGTTACTACTGTAAAAGTCAATATGGTTTGTTTCCTTAGAAATATGAATAATAAATAATAATAGGAGATGCTTACATAATTCTAGATTTCTCCACCTGTGACAGGTTTCCACACGTTTTGCAAAAAAGAAACAGCATTTTTTACTCTTAGGAAAAAGCAGCCATGAGGATTATACACACCGTGACGATTAACTTTGTGAAATTCAAAATAACAAAAATTCACATAAGAGTACAAATAATCAGTTGTATTCAAAGGAGGAAGAATTACAATTGAAGTTGTTCATATTTAACAGCTGGATTGTGTTTCTGTGTGTGAGACTCAAACAAAAGTCTCAAAACCCGGTGGAAATATGTGGTCTTCATAAAACGCAAGTAAAATTTAAAACCTGTAGTTTAGAAAATGAAGTTGCACTAAAGTAGACGTGAGGTCTTAGTCAGGAAGGAACCACTAGAAACAATCCTGTCCAGAGAACAGTTCAGTTTCAGTCAGGTTGATGCAGAACAAAAACTCAGAAACTGACAACTGTGAAAAATGAGAACTGAAAACAAAACAAAAAAATTGCTGCATGACTGTAGAGACAATGCAATATGTCTGCAAAAAAAACCCCAGATTGGCTGAAAAACTGTAGCCAGAAACAAAACAATGTGCAGGTGTGAAGATTTGATACAGACATTTGATTTTAAAACAAATGAAAATGTGGAAATCTAATCATCCTCTGTGAACCAAAGTGTTTCTATTTTCCAACTAAAGATGCACCAATCAACACCAGTTCTAGAAACTACTACTAAAAAGAGAGAAAAAAAAAAAACAGGTTTTAGATTATTTTTTCTCTGTTTCAGCTGTAGCTCTTTGTTTGATTTGATTGTTTTAAATCTCACAGAAAAGGAAGGAACAAAAAGACCATTCTGTTTCATGGTTCACAATCTTTGTCCGTAACCGTTATCAAATTTTTATTAAACTCAACAAAGTGCATCGAAGTGCCTGCTGTGGGTTGATGCTTTTATGCACTGAAAATGGTGGGAGTTTGATGCATTTAAACAACAGGGGGAAGAAAATCAAATCTTTCATTGTGACTTCCTGTGAACCCTGTTTCTTTCCACTGCAGGCACCGAGTTTTTCCTCGGTTTGAGCGTCCCGCTGGTGACGGCGCAGCCGAAGCTGCCATGATGTGCTGATGAGGCTGTCAGTGAGGATTAGCCTCTGAAATTTTATGTCCTCCTTTGCCACCAATCCACAGTGGTGAGTTGATGATGATTATTGAGTGACGACATTATCTAAAATGGGTTCTGCCAGCAGCAGTTGGCGTCCGACTGCCAGCGCAAAAGATGCAAAACAAGTTCTTGCTAAAAGTAAAAACAAACAAAAAAAAAAATGGTGAAAATAGGAAAGTTTGTGATGTGGAAATTGGTTTTTGTCCTAAATGATTTGTTTGTGTCAAACAGCAACACTTTTACATAAAGCTCACATTCTTTCAGTTCAGTGTTCTGAAAGTAAAGTTTTCGTAGTTCTTACATTTGTTCAACATTTTCCACATTATTTCCACAAGCTTGTATGTATTTTGATGGGATATTATGTAAGAAAACAACACAAGGTGGTGCATAAATATTACGTAAAACAACAATATTATTTTCAACAGATCTTATGCAAATTTAGAGTCTGAATCTGTATTCTGAAAACTTGAATGAATACTTTTAGCGATACCACTTGCTGCAACTAGAGCATTTTTTTCACAAATAAACAAATTTTAAGTATATTTCCTAAGCTTGAATGGATGTAAGGTGGATGTTTTTGCAGATAGTCCTGGTCTGAATAGGAATTTATTCTTTCCACATACTGTAAATGCTGCAATCTGTAAGTTTCACATCAACCTTCCATATGTAACATTATTCTGAAAATAGACCAGGTGTAGGAAAACAAGGTCAAAAACAGATAAACAAACATAAACACAAACATTTTTCCAACATAGTACATATCGGATACATTTATGTTTGTGGTTGTAACCTGACAAAATGTCAAGAAGGTCAAGACTATTTGACTAGCATTACTTTCAACCATATCACTTCATGATGGCAGCTCCTGGCTAAGAAAATGTATTTGTTGTGGAAAATAAGTTGAAGTAGTAGTTTCTGTGGTGCCTCACAGTTGTGCTGCGTTTAAAATTAGAGCATCTCTAGTTTCCTGATTGTGTTCGTCTGTCTGGTGCGACTGGCGATCTGTCCTGGCTTGACAACGTGACGATGGAAGTCACTGAAGTCTGAGAAACTTTTAGAGAGTCTATGTCAAACAAGAAATTCCTATTGTTTGATGAGCTTTGAGTAAGGCATATGTTTTTCTGACTTAAATCTTAATTCTGTCACACAGCAGAATCACACTCTCACTTTCTGCCTGACAACACATACAGTTATACTTGTTTCCTAGTATATCCATTACACAGCTCAGGGACCCAAATAAAGCATGTCAAAGGTGTTGGGGACTCTAAGGAAGGAGGACATCTGGGATGTGTCCAAGATGCCTCCGTAAGTCTGAGGTATTAACTACCAGTGATGGCTACCAAAGTAGCCCTCATCCTGATTGGCGATGACAGACAGGCAGATATAGCTCTGCTAGAGTAACTCTACTCCCCCAGCTTCTGTTCGCTGAAGCCCTGCAATTAGCCAAACCCACGAAGGCCTGAGACTCAACATGCAAAAGCTACAGAGGAGAAAATAACCGATATTCATTTTCTCCTGCATTTACAGCGTTGTATTATTTTTTTTGTTAGTTCATTTTCTGCAGCCACATAAACACATTTTTTTCCTTAACATGAAGCCAGCATTATCCACCAATGTCCAATTTTTAGAGCAAAATTCTGACACTTATTGAACAGATTCAGTTCACCGTTCACAGAATAATGAATTAGTCAAATCCCAGCAAGTTGAGCTTCTGCTCATCCATATTTAAACAGATTTTCAGACCAAAAAAAAAAATTATCAAATGACGCCCTGCAGTCACACCAATTGAAAAGGTCTCCTTCTAATTGACATAATATTATTCTCTAATTTTAGCCTCATCCTGCTTCTCCTCTGAGTTGTTTCAGCCTGTGTGCCACAGTCTGATTTGGGAACAAAATTCGCTGCATCCCAGCATGATCTGCTTAGTCAGACAGTTCATGGCCACGGAGAGGACAGGTGAAGCTGCTGAATCTGAATCAGCTTTTTAGGTGGCATAACAGCACTGGAGCTCAGTCACACATCATGAATCTTGAATGACCTTTAGCTACTGGAAAAATAGATTGAAAAGCACATTATTGTCCTTCCACATATATTGTACAACGTACGAAGAAACTGGTTTAGCTCTCATCCTCAAGTGAAAGGAGGAAACAGAAACACTGAGCTTTGGCTCAAGCTACCATTTTTAATGATGAATAAAACCTTGGCAGATAAATTAGAAGCTTTTTTGATGTTTTTGTTGATGCAAAGAAATTACAAGTGAGTCAAATTTAATTACATTTCTAAAATATCTAACCTTAAACTTGGTAAAAAGCTTGAGTATTCACTTTGCTTCAGATAAATTGTATTGTTGAAAACTTTTGCAAATCGGTTTTAGAGGTTTTCTGTAAGTAAAACCTCTAAAAGCACTTTTTAATTTGTGAACAAGGCCATTGATTGTGGCATAGAGAGCTGAATGGGGATGAGATGAAGTCAAGATGTACAATGACACCAGATTTTATTTCCACAAATGCATCAAATTCAAGCAGGAGACAATGTGAGGATGTTTGCACATCAATAATCTGTTTTTGTTGATGGTGGATTCAGTCCTGCTCTTACTGATGACCTTCATTTGCAGGTTAATGAAATCATACAACATTCCCAGAGTTAGACATTAGATACAACATAATCAACTGATGTCCTCAGTGACAATGTTAATAAAATCTAAATGGGACAAAATATGAAAAAAATTTTCCAGCATTTCGTCACATGCCAGACTGAGCAAAGGAATATTTAAATGACTGAGGAACAAGAAAAGGGATTTCAGGAGAAAATGAGAGTGAGAAAATGTAACTAAAATCCTTTTTCTTGCTAAGCAGGATGTGCTTTGATGTTTTTATCTCCAAAGCGACAAAAGCGCAGAAAGCAGATAGAGCGGGCTGAGGAGCCACATCTACTGCGCTGAAGACGAGCAGCGGCGACAGGAAGAGGGGGTGGAAAGAAGCTGGAGAGCTGGAGAGATGGAGAAGGTGCACAATGCGGAGCCTCACAAAGGGAGAGGCAGTAAGACGAAAACTGATGAGGGAAATTAAAACATCATCAAACAGGCAGTGAAACATGGCAGCCGGAGCAGAGCAGGAAGAGAGAGGTAGGGATGAGCGAGGGGAGTCCGGCGTGGCACGGCGGCGGTGACGATGGCTAATGCAGCACACTGTGACGTCAACCTTGCAGCAGAGCTGAGCTCAACACTAGCAGGCTAATCTGTCCTCTGTGGCCTGCAATGAATTGCAGCTTTATAATTACAACACATGCGGGCAAAGCACCTGCCACTCAAATGCCTCGCTTAAACAATTGACCTCTTTCACTTTGCAGCCAATACTTCTGTTTACACCAACACAACATGCTGATGCACATCAAAGAGCAGTCGTTACTAATTGTGCAGGTTTTGTTTTTCAGCTGCTCAGCAATGTCTCTTTTAAAATTTATTTTCATTTTTATGAATTTGGTCATAAGGACAAAGGAGCCAAGTTGATAAGGAGGGGTGATGTTGTGTTTGAAACCTCATAATTGGGTGTTGATTCATAGTGACAAATGGAGAAAAGGGAGATATAGTGGTCGCTTGGAGATCTATCAAACCAGCACCCTGCTGATTTAACAGCGTTCCATCTAACTGACGCAGTCCGGCTTCAGCTCCTTAATTTCTACAAACAACTGCTTCACCTTAACCCAGAGGTTAATCAGTCCAAGTTTTACCCATCAGGGTTTATTTCCAGTGTAGCAGCTGTTGGGATTGTCAATGCCTAGGACAGATTTGTCTCACCATTCCAAGTCCAACAGATTTTTTAATTTTTTTTTACTGTAATTTGCCATTTCAAGCTAATGATGACAAAGGAAACAGAAACAGTTAAGCATATTCTTATCTGATTGAGTTTATACTATATGAACATGTTTTGTCACTTCATAGTCTGACTGTTGACTTCCTGCTGGACCTGTAGTAACCTTTAGTTATTTTTTGCTACACTTACATTCAACATTCTAACTGAGGAGAAATCACCCTTCCTGTACTTCAACACAGGTCACAAACTTTTCCAGGAGAATTAATCTTAGCTGCAAAAATGCTTCCTATAAACTTTTTCTGTGCCAAAAATAAACACACATGCATCACTTTTATATATTCTCATTTGAAAAACTTAAGTAATCTGTTTGCAGTTGTAGTCTTTAGTGATGCAGTGTTAAGATCAACGTGCCTTCTTGGTCAGAAGAAAAGTGGGTTTTAAACCAAATTCAAATTATGCCCTAAGCATCTAAGTGAGTTCTGATTATTTATTTATGTTTCAAACTCAAAAATATCTTCATGTTTTGTATTCAATATTTAACGCCATGAAGATGCCCTGATGAAAAATAAGGCGTGTGTCTGCTTCTAAACTGCTGCAAACACCCACAAGAGTGAGTAAGCCAAGAGCTGCACTGAAAGCAGAGCGTCCGTTCATTATTAAAGAATGTCCACAGTCTCTCAGGTTACTGTGGAAGGAGCTGTAGAGCTGCAGCAAAGCAGATGCTGCACGCAGCGTTACGAGAGCGGCGTTGGCGAACAGGTGCTCTGGTTTAAGACTTCACACGTGGCCATCGGGAGAGCAGAGAAGCCCCCGCAAAGATCTGTTTTATACATGAGTACTAAGTGAACTCAATGGATAAGAATGTAAATATAAACATGCTGGTGTGAATTAAAAATACTCTCCTGTCAAGAACACCAGACTCTTGTAGATTATGTGGGAACATGCAGGTCTGCACAAGAGGGACACATAATTGATGGCTCCTGAAAGAGAGAACAGCTTCAAACGACTTTTTCTTTTTTACACACGACTGAGTTTAGAGGACAAATTCTTCACAATTAACCCCAAGAAAGAGTCCTATTTCTAGCCAAAGCTGTATATTAGGTGCCTGTTCATGCTAAGGTTAAAGGTTACCGCAACAAATAATAAACACAAGATGTTTCCATCTTTTAAAGTCGTAGTTGTCAAACCAAGGCAGAAGAGCATTTACTTTATTTCTAGTGGTATTTTTGGTAAAGAACCATTGATTCTGAGAACTAAAACTAACACTCTGTTATGATGATTAACATATTTTGCTTCTAGGTGCAGCCCAGGTGTTTTTGTAATCTTTTAATGGCGTCTTTGCTTCTTTTGTCTTATTGGTTTTAGCAGACTGGGAACCACCAAATACAAATGTGGTAATGGTTTCACAAAATAACGCTTCTGCATTTGGAGCCAACAAATCTGGATCTATACTAACTAAAGACCCTAAAAGAGGAACTGCAGGTAAGATACTTAACAGCTTTGAAGCTTTTAACAGAATCTCACATTTGAAAATCTGAACTATCCCCTATAATGGTGATTTATTATGCTTTCTTGAACAGTTTCGGCTAGGCATAAGGGCTGAACAAATCATGTTCATCACATTTTTTGCACATTCAAAGATGTGAAATTTCATAATTAGGACCTCTTAAAACTTTAAATCAAAGATAGGATGCAGCTGGACACACCTCCAACTCAACGTTTGCACTCACACATGGAAATACAATAGTTGCAATTAGATGCACAATTAAACAGCCGTACATCTTTGAAAAGCAGAAGTACGGCCTCCTGCACAACCAGCTTGAATGCGGCGAGTGGTTTCTGGATGGTAGGTCACCAACAATACATTTGTCTTTTCCAACAGCCATTGTACAGAAGTGAAACCAGCTCATCATATGTCCTGGAGCTCAGCTGGGGTTGCTAGGTGATAGGCTGGGCTCAGCTGGGGTTGCTAGGTAACGGCACCAGTGCCTGTCGATTGTGATTTAACAATAGGGACGTTTGTGAAAAGGCAAATTGTTTCCTGATATAACTATTTCCTGAGAATGACTGAGTGTTGATTTTAAGCACTTGGGTTGCTTTTAGAAACAGTCGAGACCCAAACAAAAGTATAAAAACATAAAAAATGTCATAGGTTCCCTTCAAAGCTACTGTCACATTCAAATCTTTAGAACATGTTAAATTACAGCATTGTCTTCTGAGAGAAACGTCAAGGTTTGATCTTAAGTTCTGTGCTAATCAAGAATTTGCTTTTACAAAATCAGTTTTTATCAGGTGAAGAACTGCAGTGAAGAACATGAAGCTTCCCCTGTTCACATGTGACCACTAGCATCACGCTCTATAAACAGTACAGTGGACTCAGCTCATGTCAGTCATGTCAAGCAGTAGGTTTTGGAGCCTTGCGTTACGAGTTATTTGTTTTTCATCTTCAGTTAACGCTGCTGCCTCCTTAATGGGGACACTCGGATCTTTCATCTAAAGTTTCATGACTTCAGGCCTCTTTGGTTTCAGTGCCTCTGCCCCGTGTTAGCAAAGCCCTGCCTGTCAAAACTGAAAGGCAGAAAACGTGCCTGGTCAGCACCGGGGTGACCTGGAGGACGAACTGTGGTTCCTCCTCCTGCTTCACACCAACCCTCAAACATCTTACAGTCCATTAAAATCCCATCATAACATCCCACACACATCCACACATTTGCAATGAACTCTTTAGGAAATGTTTCTAAAGTCAAGCGTCACTGGAGATACTCTAATGTAGAGCCTCTGAACTATGTAAAACCAATCAGTTTCTTGTTTTCCTAGCTTCATCTCTCTCTACATTACATGCTGACGCCACTTGTTGACAAAAGAAAAGGCCCTCCCAGACGTTGGAGTAAGTAAAGCAAGCAGGGATTTCTGTCCTTCTACGCTCCCCAACGCAACAAGCTAAAATTAGAACCGAGAAAGACTTTTCACTTTCCCCGTGTGTGCTGTCAGTCAGCGACCGACACAGGAATCTGAGAATTTATGCTTTAGTTCAACGTTTAAATAAGCGCAGCTCTGGTGCAGTGACCCTGAAAGTATTTGAAAGAATATTGGTTTTTACGGCGTCCTGACACGATGGCCCACCTGTGGATGTTCAACAACTCTTCTTCCTTCAAGTACAGCAAAATGTTTTCAAAAAATAAACTTCCTGACTACTAAAAATTAAACTGAATGCTTTGAATCGTTGTTTCATACAGGAGAAATTCTTGTCATCCTGTCTTCTCTAAATGCAAATGATTTCAGCACTTCTGTGAGATTGTTTTAATCAGTATTTTTAGCCATTTACAAATGTAACACAATCTTTGTTTTAAAAACAACTTCTCTTTTTCAAGCTATCTGGATATTATTAATTATTCCAAACTCTCAGCCTGATGCCCTCAGATATCTGAAGTTAGCTGGTGAGCATAAGCAAACAAATATAGCATCACTTCACACACCTAAATATAGACCCCACAGTGAAAAAAAAAACTATTTTAATAACTTTTAAATTTAATTTTAATTGCCATTTTGCGTGCTTTTTACAGGCCTCATTAAAACGTAGTAGCCTACTTGGATTCATTGTTTGTGTCACAATGAATTCTAGTAGTCCAACAGAGATGATGCTGTGAGGATGTTTTTCTTCAACAAACCTCTGAAATAAAGTTATTAAAGCCTACAAAAACAAACTTTTCAGCGTAGCAAGAACCCTGAACACACAGCCAGAGCTTCAAAAGGAAAGTTTTGATCAAAATCCGGAGCTAAATCCAACACAGGCAATATGGAAAGAGTTAAATTTATCCAACCTAATGTAGCTTCATCTGTCTTGCAAATGAGAATGAATCAAAGTTTCAATCCTTAGATGTGGAAGAGATGCAGTAAAAAATCCAGCATTTTTTAATTTTGTTTTACTGAGGAGAGTTTGAGTGCAAATGCATTTCATGCTGTTTCTTTTACATACATGACAACAAAAAAAGCACTACTTTGACTTGGTCTATCAGATAAAATCATTATTAAACACAAGTTTGTGGTTTATTGTGACAAAGTTAGAAAAGCTTAAAGAGTGTGAATGTTTCTGCAGGGCTCTGATGACAGCGCGAACTTTCATACCTCTGAGTTGAAGCGTATTTGACAAACGTTGCAGGAGATTATCGGCCTCTTTGTTTTCACAATAGGCGGCCCGAATGTGTGCGTCATCACAGCCTTCTGGATCGGGTCCATCTGAGGAGAGACGAGCCAGAGGTCGCATCAAACATTCAGCAGCACATGGCGAATTCAGACGGCGCCGTTCAGTCCTCCTGTGGAGCATGTAAGGCCTCCACTGAGGAAACGTGGATGGGAGTCGAACGAGTGAAGGTGAATGACAGGGGAAGCTGCAGCAAGACGACGTCTAACAGAGAGCTGGAGATCGATCAGTGATTTAACTTCAACAATCTTTCTCATTCACATCAGGGTCAAGAGAGCCCTGATCACAAGCTCCCGACCCCGAGCAGTTCTTGGTGATGTTGATTCATGTACTAAATATTCATTTTTAATTTTATTGTCAAAATCAAATTCAAAAACAAATTTTATTTGTATAGCACATTTCAACAAGGAAGCATTTCAAAGTGCTTTTCATCATCAAAATACAAAGATACAAAGTAATAGAGCACAAAACATGTTTGAATGTTTCTTAAAAAAATAGAGTTAAACAATTTTTTTTTTAAATGCAGTTTTGTGACTGAAATTATGCGAAAAGTGGATAGAAAATGCAAAAAAAATCAACAGCGGAATGACCTCCCTCCAGAAAATGTAGACATTTTTTAATATATTCCATATTTAAGTCATTGTGCTATAACCTAAAATTAACGCATCTAACCCAGTAATTTCTAAATGAAGCACAGACATGGAGCCTGTTATTTTCATTGAAGGGTTTTCCTGCCATTCTTTCTCAGCCGACTCGTTTGAGCTCCCTGACCTGTTAGTGGGGTTTGAACAACCACAGAGCTGGGTGTTGCCTTGGTTAAACAGCCAAAAGTACACCGAGGTTTTACTCAGCCTATCATCTCCGGCTCACTCTGAATGCATGTTGCTATATTAGATGGTTTACACCACGAAGCCTCGGGCAGCATCGAGAGCTCTGTAGTTCGTCTGAAATCTCCAACGTTGCTTCAATGAACTGCAGATCCCTTCCAGGTATCTATTGATGTAGTTGTTAATTATGGAAGATTAGTTAATTTGTGTAGCACATTTCAGCAGCAACTCAAAGTGCTTCACAGGATAATCCATGAAAAAGAAAAATAAGAACATTGCTGTGGCACAGTAAAGGAAAATAAAGACAATCGATGAAGTTCCAGTTATCAAAGGCAACTCTAAACAAATGATTTAAAGGCATTCAGTGTTTAAACATTTTTGCAGTTTTCTGGAAGTTTTTTTCAGATTAGAAAAAGCTGCTTGCTGCTTCTCCATGTTTGCGTCTGGTTCTGCATGCAGAGCAGATCTGTTTTGCCCTATTTCTGCCCATTTTTCCCCGAGTCAAACTGAACCAGACTAAACACCGAGCATCCATGAATAGTAATTTTACAAGTCCATTTCAAGTGTTTATCCAAACATCAGGACGCCAATGCCACCCTGTTCCACTGTGGGGACGATACAAACATGTCAATCTGCACCAAAAAGTTAAATTCACACTGAACACTTTTGTAAGACATTGCTGCTTCATTCATGTTTTTATGCAGGTTTTGTAGGTGAAGCACAATGAAACACGTACTCTGTTTCTGACTTTTGTCCACAGTCTGATTGATGTTTCCCGCGTTGCATCTCCTCGCTGCACTTCTTTGGGCACCTGTTCTCGTCAGGATCTCCATCTGTGCACCTGTCCCCACTGTTACGACCTCATTAACTTATTTTATCTACTCCTTGTCTCCTCTTTCCCGCTCTCATACACTGGGGCTTTTGTTGCACCTGCACTCTGTCCTGTTCGCTTTGTATTGCGTTTTTCACTATGTGGTGCTTGGATCGGTTGACATTATTTAGCTTTAATTGTTGCAAATGCTAAATTAAATAAGACTGAACTCATTTTCTGCATTGGGGCCTTAAAGATTTAGTCCTCCTCAGTCTGCTCTTTAGGTAACGATCCAGACTTTTGGCATTTTGCCTCATTCTCCTCTTTGATCTCTTCAGGAAAAACTCAAGAGTAATTCAGTTTGTTAGATCATCAACAAATGCCACAGCTTAGGCTTACATTTTAATGGTGTCATCTTGAGATGAATTGCTTTCTAATTGAAGTAATGAAACTCATTTTGTGAAGACTTAAGAAAGTCAGTTTCCTCTTTATTAGAAGATAAAGATAAGCTTTCATCTGTGTGTATGATTCAAAAAAGACAGAGAAATACTTTACGCTTGTCTCCATGCAAACACCGAGTATCTTCTGTAACCTCTAAAGCCAAACCTCAGACTAAGTGTTACGTTTTAAATATGTAGCTGAGGACGACAAAATCATAGACTTTGTCAATTTTCCCAGCACAAAGAGAGAGTGATTTGAATTAAGGTGCATTGACACTAGTGGTCACCCTAAATGTCTTCAACGAAGCAGGATGAATCACAAAGCTTTGCAGGGGCGAGTCTGTCTGAGTGCATGCAGATGAGAACACTGATATTGTGTTTATGCATCTCTGTTTGTGACCAGCTTGACCTTCACATGAAACCCAATCTGGAAATGAAAAGGAGCCGCAGAAAACGCTGACTGCGGCGAACACAGCCTGTGCCTCTTATTTGATTGATTAGCTGTAACTCATTTTATTGCAGCAAACCACTTGGCTGTACTTCTTTTCAATCACGCTGAAACCGGCTGTGCTGAATAGAAAAACAGCTGTCACCCCCATCATTTCAGATGACACAATGTACAATAAGATAAGATGGACTTTATTGTCCCGCTGGGAAAAATCTGCCTTGGTATAAATAAAACACAAACAATGGACAAAACTGTAAATTGTACAGTGCAACCACCACTAGGACGTTTGCTATCAAGTGAAAATAGTCTCACAATATCTGTGTGTGTGTGTAAAAGTATTTGTACGTGTGCAAAAGTATCTGTGCGTGTGTAAGACTGGATTTGTAAAATTCAAAAATAAAATAAACCTTCTCCTATGCCTACAAATGTTGAAAAAGTACGTACAAGTCACCTGGATTAAAAAACTAAAGTTTAGAGGATGAAAACACTAGACTCATAGCAAACCTCAGATGACCCAGCTTTTTACTAGCATGTAAACGCACCATCTACACTGGGAGCTCCCGAAGTGTGAAATGAGTCTCAAAAATACTCGTACACTTGTAACCGGATCTGTGCGTAAATGCAGTTTTGTGTGTGAGACTTGTGCAAACTTTTTCAACATTTGTAGGTGCAGGAGAAGGTTTATTTTACTTTTAAGGTTTACAAATCCAGTATTGCACACCCACAGATATTTTCACACACATACAGATATTTTTTATAGACGCACAGATATTTTTACACAAAATATTTTCCACAAATATTTTGAGACTCATTTCACTCCATAATTTGCCCTCTTGAGCAAGTGAAGAGTTAATGACAAACAGAAGGGGACAGACTCATTGTGTATATTTGAACCTAAGTGCAGAGGGACGAGGGAATGCTTGAAGCAATTACTGCATCTCTGGGGAGCCTTTTACTACCGGCCTGAAGCATGAATCTCATACTCTGAATTCAACCACATCACTACGATCTACTATTCTATAAACCTGTCTAATTATGGCTTGTGAAAAAATGACCTAAAGACTTGAACATTGGCAAAGTTACAAGTTAGTCTTTGGGGGATCTGTGTAAATCAGGTGATGTCAGCCATGAGTGTGAGATATATGTTGAAATATATGTATTTCAACAAAGGCTTGTCAGAAACACTGAGTATTTCTGTGTCAATGCATGACCACAGTAAATCAGAGCCACCAAATCAGTGTTTCCATCATACCAGTGACTGTAGATGCACCAAAACCTCCTCCAACTTGGTGCAGAATTAACAAAAGACGTTGTAAGTTATTGTTGAAATGATGCTAGTGCCAGTTATTGTTACTGTCCATTTCATCGACATCCAAATGTTAAATTCTCGTCTATCTTTTGAGGTAAATGGTAGTGAGTTAAAGACGCATCGCTGTGTTCGCGTGCTGGTGTGTGAGAACTCACGGCGTTAAAGTTGTGGAAGAGGCCTATGCCGGCCGGATGAGGCGACTCCAGGGGAAACTGGAGGAAAGGCTTCAGGTCCAGAGGCGGTGGGAGGACAGGTGGGTTCCTGAGGAAGGCAGGGACCGGCGCCGGTCGGTTTACACTTCCTGTTGTAGAGAAGAAAACAAAACGTTACATGTTTTGATGACATAAGTCAAGTCCATATACAGTATATTACTATGAAAACAGAAACCAAGAGGCTTGCATTTATGTACAAGAAACTTTTGTCAAAAGAGCCAAAAGTCAAAAGTAATTATAGGACCAAGAATAAAAATTTACAGTATTATTTTTTGTTGGAATTTGCTGTATTAAAAGAAATGCATGTAGTTTTCTGATTTTTTAAAACTCAATTGAACAAATTTAATCTCAGGTATAACAGTGCAGTTGGGGTCACCTTTATTAAATTTAGACAAATTTAATAAATCAAGTAGAAGGCGATTTGGGTGCAGATGTCAGCTTTTCAGTAAAACTCTGTAAGTAAATGTGCTATAAAAGTTTCATTTTAAAAATATGAATATTTTGTGTTGTTCATAGCATTTTCCACTGCAAGGAAACTGTGTTGGTAATAATGTTACCCTGATTAAAAACAAACCGTTTAATGAACAAATCTGTATCATTGTTGAATTGCAGTGGGGAGGGCACAAAGAAACCAGACCAAACTTTGGGAATCCCTGAATTAAGCTTTATTGACCTTATAAAAACAGATGCTGAATACAAAACAACATTTCTCCATCAGTGTTTAAAATGGAAGTCCACTCCTCCACAACATCATCTTCTTCTCCTCTCCTCTCAGTAGCTCAGCGGCAGTGAACGCTGCTCTTGAGGAGTCTGCTGTGATGGGCAGGAGGGCTAAGCTCCTTAAGCCTCGCAGCTGGGCCGCTGCAGATATCAGTCTATACTCAAATTCTCTCCCTCTCTCTCCAAACTCTGTTTTCTGTTTCCATTTCATGGTCGCTTACTCCGCCTGCCTCTGGCTCCCTTGTTCACCCTCTCAGCCCAGCACCGATTCCTGTGTTTCGTTCATCTACATTCTTCACAGCTGTTCCAATGCCTCTTTTCTGGATTTTGAAGATAATCAGTCACAGAACGAGGTGCAACATTTTCTGTGGTCATTATAGACAGTCAGCATTGCTCAACTTTGCCATTTTATGATGGCAGAGTTGAGCATCATAACATGCTCAACTCTGTTCTGAACAACATTTTGTGTTCAGAAAAGCTGGAAATTTAGAGGACAAAAGAGGATGCTCCTTGTTTTGGCAACAATGAAAACGTAAAGGAATTAGAGGAAAAACCTTCTTGTGCTGTTGCTGTTTTGTGTCTCATCCTACCTCCATTTTGTTCCAATGCACTTAACCATTGCAAATAATTGTATTTCTCCTGGTGGTTTGGATATTGATACACAATAATCATAAAACATCATTGAAATAAATTTAGATCTCATTTATAATTTGTTAATTATTTTTTAGTTGATATTAAACATCCCTGATGCAGGTATGAACTGATGCAAAACCTGATAAAGTATGAAATGTTTGGCCGCCACGTTGACCAAAGTGCTTCACGATTCAATTTGTGGACTTTTATTTGGAACAAAATTGTCAAATTTAATACCCGCTGTTTTTTTATGTGGCCACATAAAAGGACATTCAGCAACATTTTGTGTGCTTGAAAATGAATTTTATCAATCAAATCAAAGTCTAATTTACTGCCAAATTATATTAATGTGAAAAGATGTTCAGTGTTTGTCAAGTCAAGAAGTATTCATCATTTACAGACAAACTAGTGGGTAATTTTATTAATACGTTTTGATGCATCTGGTCCTTTAAGGATTCATGATCTTGTTATAAACCGAAATGAAAATGAGTTTGATAATCTGCTGTAAATGTTCAAACTCTGGAAGGGAACATCACTGTTTGACTGTGCAATATTAGAAAACACTTAGAAACATTTGTACTTAAAGGTTTGAGCATAATGGGGAAATAAATGCAAAATTCAAAGTGTCTGGGATCATGTGAGGCAAAAGGTTAGAAATCATCACGTTCCCAGAAAGGAATGTCTTTTTTGCACCACAGATGGTTCAAAGCACTGCAGGATTTTACATGCAACAATAACCAATGTATCTTTAAAGAGTAATAACTCTTGAACTTTGACAAATCTGTTCAGATTTGCAGAACCAGAAATGCCAGCTGCTGAATCAATACCAGCGATAGATGCTGACAGGCTTAAATAAAGTGTAAGAGTAACACATTATTCTGTGGAGTGTGGCAGATTTAATATGTAATAATCAGTGCAATTTAATGGTGTCCAGCTTCTGTCAGTCTCTGTGTGTCCATCACTCTGCTGTCTGTAACTGGGACCTTATTTTTTAAAAATATTACACACACAGTTCAATCAACACCAGCAGGTATGGCAGATTAACTTTGGCCTTTTTAACATTTGTACAAACAAAATGGGATGACACACGACATGCAGCGTAAAACTTAAAGCAAGATCTGAAGTTGACTAAATTTAAGAGTAAAAGTGTGAAGCTTGCAAGCCTGAGATCATCATCCTTGTTGTGAAGTCAGTCAGTCTCATGGTGTGTGGATGTTTTACTACAGAAAGCCGTGCAGGTCAATGTGTGAAACTATTTAAGCAACATCTCAAGACTTTAATGGTAATCCTAACCACCCTAAAATGAGAAAGTTTAGTTTTGATGTCGTGTCTCTTCATACAGAGTATGCACAGGTACATCTCAAAAACTTTTAAAGTCATGAAAAGATTTATTTTTGTTAAATATTTCAGATAACGAAGCATACAAGTGCATACAAGCCAACAGATGACAAAATTCCAACATTCAATGTCTCAGAAAATTTGAATATTGTGAAACAGCAACATTTTGTAAACTCATGGTATCACACCCTAATCAGCAAATTATCTCATAGGTTTCCTGAGTCTCTGAAAGGTCCCTGAGTCTCTGAAAGGTCCCTGAGTCTCTGAAAGGTCCCTGAGTCTCTGAAAGGTCCCTGAGTCTCTGAAAGGTCCCTGAGTCTCTGAAAGGTCCCTGAGTCTGGGTAGGACACCACCATAGTGGAAGACAGATGTTTGAAAGATGTCCAAAAGGCAGGAACTGACAGCGTCTACATGGAAGTCATGAAAAGATCAGAGCTAAAGACGCTGCTGTATCCAAACATATTGAAAGAAAGTTGAGTGGAAGGAAAAAGTGCACAGGGATAACCATTCTTAAAGTCAAGTCACACCTGAATCACGGACAACATTATAAGCATCTAAATCATAAATGTTACAAGAAATACTATTGTTGAAATATTTCTCTGTACATGTGATGAATTTATTCAATATTTGAATTTCACTCTCTGAAATAAGTGAAAAAAAAATTTTTTTAGAAATATATCTGTCAGTAAATATTATTATTATTTTGTATACTTTAAGAGTTTATTTGAGTTACTAGTAACTTAATTTTCTTTTTTTCTTTCGCTTGTTTGGGCTGTCTGTGGGCGGAGCCTGTGGCTTTAAAAGCAGGCGAATCATTTGTGGTTGTGGATGTTTTGTATTTACCTAAAACAGAACTTCCCAAAATGTTTTCCTAAAAATGTTTTGCTCAGCAGCATCGAGAAATCCAGTCGACTGTGTTTAGATTAGCTTACAGTGTATTTAAAACAGCAGCTCATCCAGGTGGTCGTTCAATCTAAACTGTATTCAGGCGGTTAGTCTGTAATGTTTAATACCAGCATCATCGCTGTTTCCTTTCAGGTTAATGAAGCTTATTCCTGACACGCTTCTGGTAAATCTGAAGCTCATTTTACGCTACATTACAAGTGAAAGGTCACAGCCCGTCTTCTATTATAAGTCTCTATTTAAGATGCAGACAGTTACACTGGAGGGCAGTTCTTTACAGTTCTGCACCATCGCTGAGCCGCTCAGTTCGGTGTGTGCGCCAGCGTGGCAGCGCTGTCCTCCCTGACCTACCCTCCTTCTGAGTGATTTACAATGACATCAGATAAGCGAAACGGCGTGACTCTTCAGCAGCAAACACGCCGGGAGGGGTGGGAGCATTGATTGGACACATTCTGAGGAGCGTTAAAGTGTTAAAGAGCTGCCAAACTCAATAAATCCAGGCACCACAACCCACAGCTCCTTCACTTCACGAAAATAAATGCCATCTCACTGACTTTCCCTTTTCTAATGCAAATGTTTGGGTGATAAAAAGATCAATGCGTCTGTAATGGCTTATTGAATTTTTTTTTGTGAGTTGTGATCAAAGGGTTTTTGGTCAGAAATGAAGAGAAAACTAAAGAAAAACTGATTTTTTCCCTCTCCAGTTTCCCAAACCACATTGCATACACACACACACAATCCAATGGATGCGACTGAGGCCTCCTAAATTGGCAATTTATTTAGCTTATTTAGCTTTAATGATGGTGGAGGTAAAGCCAATGCCAGAGACGTCCTCTGAGCCTTTCTGTATTCCCTGGTTGCGTCCGTCTCTCTGCTCTACGACGGCTTCAGGACGGACGCCGACAGAACTACCTAAATAAAATTCGAGTCAGAAACATGGCAGACTTTGCTCCAAAAAAAAAAAAAGAGAAAAAAAAAAGATTTTAAGCCACGTTTGGTTACGGGCCTGTCAGCTCGACGATGCCAGCAGTGGCACATCTGCATCTAAATGGCCTGCTGTGCAAAGATGACTCTGAAATGAGAGTCTGCAGTGGATTAGCCTCCCCCCCCCTACAAAATGCCCCGCTTACTGTCACTGCAGCAGGGTGGGAGTGAGTCTGTTAACCAGAAACCCACGTGATGATTCTGTTTGTCTTCCCAAAACATTTTCACGAAGAAAGACAAAAAAGGAACAACTGAGCAAAAAGAGTTGATTGCACATTTTGGTGGCAGATGGCATCATTTGTACGTTTGTGATTTATGACTCTTGATTCTAGTTTTGCTGCAGCAGTGCTGAGCTGTTCGTCAGCCGCATTTTGACGGCTGACATTTATAACCCCTCTTGAGCAAATCAAGTGCTTTTAGCTATTTGTTACACAAACCCGTTTCTAGTGCGAGGTACAAATGCAGTGCAGCTGTGTTTGAGGCTCCTAACCTTTCGCAGTGGAGGATGGTC